AAGAAGTGACTGGCTTACAAGCTTTCAAGAGGGAACCTGGTGCTAGGGAGCATGGCGGAAGGCAGAATCTCCAGTAGGTACTATTGAATCTGTCTGGGAGGAGCTGATGAAAAGAGATACAGATGGGTAACTCGTGATACTGTCTTCAAGGATGCTGGAACTCCCTTCACAAATTTGTTCCTCACTCTTATGTGTCACTCAGATGTGTCCTCTGAGAACTCTATGTGTGGGCTTAGGGGTTTCTTCTGATAAATCCATTCTAACTTGACAATTTCCCAAAGCCTTTGGATTCCTTCCTCTACAGAATTCCAAGGTCAATCTGGTATTTCAACTTGAGGTATTGTAGGCCACTGCGTAGTCCATGCTTCAGTGAACAAACTAACCAAACTATTAGATCTTTTCCTAACCTCTCGAGCTGAAACACTGAATGAAGAGTCTGTGCTTAGTGAGCCCATAGACTCAGACTGATCCAACCCCATGTTCCTTGCACCATTATCCCACACCCTTAATAGTCATTCCTACACATATTCTCCTGGTTTCCGTTTGCTTTTTCTGGTTTTCTACATATTAGAAAAACCAAGCAGTTCTTTTGGAGTGTAGAGTACTTCTTCCTGGGTCATAAATTATGCTTCATCTTTTGGGGTTCAAGGAGCTTAAGTCTAATTATAGCAATAATTGGTGGATTTGTTTTCTAGGAACATTCAGCAATGTCTTATAAGACATCTACTTTAGGTGATGTTTCAGGCAGTACCATCTCGGCAGACACGGTCGAGTTAATCTCATCAAGAGTGAGCAGAGGAGATGTTTTTACTGATAATGGAGCAGTCTCTTCAGATGGGAAAGGTGGGGCTGCTGGCAAGAGTGATTCAATGGAATCTACAGGCTCTATGTCCCCAGCTTCCTGATTATCTGCCCAAATGTCCCCATCCCAAGTTTCAGGATCCCATTTCATCCCAATCAATGCCCTCACCTAAGTATTAGATACCATTCCAGGTTGGAAGTTGAACCAGCGTTGTACGTCAGCCACCATTACAATAAGACTCTGAGTTTGGTTTTCAGCAATATCAGCTCTGCTACTACAAGAAATTAGGCTTTCTTTCTGGATACATATGGAAACTTTGAGGTCTTTTATGTTTCACTTGTGACTCTTTAGCCCTGAGTGCATCACTTTTTTTTTTTACCACTTGGTCTATTATAAGTACAATCAATCAGTTTCTCTATACTTCCCATCCTGACAAAAACAGAAGAAAAGTATCATATACCCAGAGCCTTGCTTCTCTCCAATACATAATATTTCATGTATTAATATTGCTACTTCACACCATGGATTATCAACACCCTCACTCTCTTTACTAGTGGAGGCAGTGTTATCAGTGCCTTTAAATTTAGTCAGGCTTGAAAATCAATTTTAAAAACTCACCCTTGCAATATTGTTTCTCTAGAACCACTCTTGGTACCAAATGTCTTAGGCTGAGTTCTCTAGAGAAGCAAAACCAGTGAAACATGTATATATCAATACAAAATGAGGTTTACATCAAAGAAATGTCTCACAAACATAGAGACAAGAGAGTCCCAAGTTCAGGTCAGCTGAGCCTAGATTGACATGCAGAGCCAACAAGAGTCCAAAGTCCAGGACAGGTGAACCAAGATCAACGGGCAGGAAGGGGTCCCACGTCCAGGAGTGCAGTGCTGGAGCAGGGGAAGCAGCAGGGTGGTGAGCAACCAAGGCCTGGGCACACATACTGCAGAACTAGTGATGCGGAATGCAGGAGTTAAAGTGGCAAGAGCAGGCATGCAGGGCCCTCCAGTGGGCATTCAGTTTTTCTGGCATGTGGGTACTTGCACCACAGAGTGTCCCTTGTAAACTTCCAGGCACACTGGATGGGCAGGCCCAGCAAGCAAACACACAATAGAGCAGTCCACTGGATTTCTGTTCCAATGTTTTTCCCTTCTTTGACACTGTTAATAGTTTGATCTTTGGTTGGACTCACAGGTCCTTTGAATTCATTGCTATAATTTTGTTCTGTTCTGAACTCTGCTATCCCTCGACTGAGCTCCAGGTGGTGTTGCCATGACTGTTAATCTTTAGTTGTTGTCTGTTCTTGCTGGTTTTCATTCCAAAGAACTCCCTTTAGGATGTTTAGGGCGTTTCGAAGCACTGGATTGGCTTTGACAAAATCTCTTAACTTCTGTTGATTCTGAAATGTTTTGATTGGCAGTTTTTTTTTCTGTTAGGGTTTTATATATGTCTCCCCATTACCTTCTTGCCTGCATAGTTTCTGCTGAGAAGTCAGAGCTTAATCTGATTTGCTCGCCTTTGTAAGTAACACTTCTCTTTTCTCTGGATGCTTTTAGGATTCTCTCTTTGTCTTTGATTTTGGAGAGCTTGATTATGCTATGCCTTGGTGATTTTCTCTTGGGGTCTATCCTTCCTGGAGTTATTCAGCTTCTTGAATGTTTATCTTCTCATCTTTCAAGGTATTACGGAAATTTTCTTCCAGTAGTTCCTCAACTATTTCTTCTATGGACTTCTGTGATTCTTCCTGTTCTGGGATGCCAATAATTCTTAAGTTATTCCTCTTCATTTTATCCAGCATGAATCTTAGGCTCTCTTCAGATTTTTTAACCTCTTTTTCTGCTTGCTCTTCTATATTAGCAGTATTGAGAGATCTGTCTTCCAACTTGCTGGTTCTGGCTTCCATCTATTCAATTCTATTCTTTTGTCCTTTAAGTGTATTGTCCATTTTGGATACTTTATTTATTGATTACCTCTTTTTGCAGGTTTTGAATTGTTTCCAATGCTTTATCTATCTTGTTTGATTGCTCCTGTAGCACTTTCCTGACTTCTTCCTTAGTTTCCTCCACCCCTTTTTGGAGCATTTGAATTTGTTTCCATATCATTCTTCTGAATTCCTTCTCAGGCAGATCCAAAACCTGCTCTTCTTCTACTGGAAATACTGTGTCTGCCTCCAGCTTATTTGTCTCAGTTACTCTTTTCTGTTTTGAGACATGTTATGAGATATTTTCTCGTATTTTCCTGGACATTTTCAGTGGGTAGGTGGATTTTTAATGCTTAAATGGATGTATGTTGCTGTATTGTTAAGCTTGCTGGGTGTCTCTTGGTGGATATGATCTGGAGATAGTCTTCCCTTTACGCGTGTAATGTCTAGAAGATGGTATTGGCCCCTGTCCCAATGGTGAGCTATAATGGGGTATGACTGTAGCTTGGCTATATGGCCATGATTGCTATCTTTTCTTGGGTAATGTAGAGAAAAAAACCTCCCACCCCCAGGAAAAAAGTGTGATCAAAAGGACCAAAAACAGAAGTGCTATAAAAGCAGAGATTAAAAGCCACCACTCCAAAACAAAAATAAAACTGTAGCTGTCTGACGAATGGCAGAAGTAAAAGATCCTGCCCTGGTCAACTTTAAGACTGGGTGCCAGAGTCAGTCGTCATAAGTAGCTGCCAAAGGGTCAGTCCATGGGACCAGTGTGGATTCTCCTTTCTGTGCCATAGGAAAACTGTGGGCTCAGTGCTGGACCCTTTTGGGGGTGCGTGCCCACCCACCTGAAGGTGGCCAGGCTGAGCAGAGAGGGCACCACAGGGAAGAGAAGAAAAAAATGTGTAGAATCCCCCTCTCCTCTTTTTTTCAAATGTCACTGCGTGGGTTTCACTGTGTCAGGGTGGTTGTGGCCTCACCCTGATCGATTTTGGAATTGCAATATTTTCCTTTACACAGTGATTTTTCCACTGGTGGGTGCGGGAAACTGACGCCCCACACCTGATACTAGATCCAGAGCTCTGGAGCAGTTCCGTAAAAGCACCTTTTCTTGATTGTTGGCACATCCCCCACGCAGTTCGTCCTACCTGACTGCTTGTCCTGCCTCCAAAACTGGAAGTCCTCACTCTAAGAGTTTTAAGCAATCTTTTGTAGATTTGCCAAATGCACTACATCATCTGGTTTCTAGACTAGTGCATCCATGGGTACTGACTGTGGATCGAAGTAAAATAAAATCTTTGACCACTTCAATTTTTCTCTATCATGATGTTGCTTACTGGTCTGGTTGTTAGGATTTTTGTTTTCTTTATGTGAAGGTGTAATCCATACTAAGGTTGTATTCTTTGATCTTTATTAGTAAGTATTTCAGATTTCTTTACTTTCAGCAAGCAAGGCTGTATCATCTGCATATCACAGGTTGTTAATGAGTCTTCCTCCAATCCTTATGCTACATTCTTCTTCATATAGCCACTTTCTTGGATTATTTGTTCAATACTCAGATAAATATGGTGAAAGCAAACAATCCTGATGTACACTTTTTTTCAATCTTAAATCATGTACTATCCCCTTGTGTCTTGTAGAAATACTACCTCTTGATCTATATACAAATTATACATGGGCACTATTAAGTGGTATGGAATTCCCATTCTTGCAAGTGGTATCCATAATTTGCTATGATCCATGTAGTCATAGTCTCCTAACTCCAACTGTGACTAAGACCTATTTTTTCATTTCTCAGACTACATTCTTTCCCTAGAAAATATGGCTTCAACGTTTACTCATTATGACAACTCCTAAATTTGTATTTTCAGTTCATATTTCTCAGTTGAGTATGGTAATATTGAAGGCTAACATTCAATGTATACGGTATATTTCTGGATTTAGAGAAATATAAGAATTAGTATCAGAGCCATTTTCAAATGCAAAAGTCTGGGGCTGTAGCTTCTCCTGTCTGTGGCAGAACAAAATGAGAAGGGTTATTCTGGAAATGAGTTATTGTCCACAGAAGGTAAGATAAAGCTGCCTCATTTCTGGAAACAAGATATGGACGCTTTAAGAGAAAGCAAGCTTGTGTCATATTAAAGAAATCCTACAAAGAGTTGGATCAAAAGGACCTCAACAGAAAAATTCAAGGAGGACAAGCACTGACTCCATCAAGAGAATCGAAATCAAGGTATTCTGCAGAAGGGCACAAACAGATGCAGCCCATGAAGAAAAGAGCCAGGAATTGTGCATTTACCTGGTCTAGACAGAATAACCAAGATGACCTTCTTTCTCCTCCTTGTGAGACTGTGGTCTTTTCTCCTAATCGCCTCTTTCCCTGGGTCCTGTTCAGGTAGAGGGAAGGTAAGATGATCCATAATCCTTTCCACCACTATAGGGTACAGGTCTAAATAAGGCCTAAATAAGGCAAAGTAGAAATTTTAAGATTAATATCTGTAGTTTGGGTTATAGCAAGAAACTGAAAATTTCAAGACTGAAAGAATGTTCTTGTGATTAAGAAGGAACCAAAATTAATGGACTCTTGCCTAAGATTTTCTCAAGAGAACAAGGCCACAGAGTAGGTTTAGTAGTGAGCAATGAGAAAGAATAAAATTTGAATTCATCTTGGGTTTAACACGTTCAGCAAGATAGTTACATCTGGTAAAAATTATCTCAGTTAAGACCGTCTAAATAAATCTCTCATTTCAAGAGGAAACAATGAAAGAAAGCTAACTCCATACTGAGCACTGAGTACCAGGGAGGAACACTGCGTCTTAGTCTTATGGATTCTTATGAGGATTGGCATGCCCTACCTTATGACACCAATGCAGCAATAGTTGGTTCCTTTCCCAAACCAACAAAAATCCAAGTACCTGCAAAGGAGGAAAGAGTAAGTAATTTTGAAATCACCAAGTTGCTGCTCAAACTACTGTTCTGTAGCTCAAATTCCTTTCATAGTCTGGCATTATGTCACTTCTTGCTATACCTGCATGTCTCAGTCACTGGGACATTATCATGTTGTTCCTTTGCCTGAAAAGCTCTCTCTTTCCATTCCACTCACCCTACAAAGTCAATTCAAATGCCAGCTCCTATTTCTGACTTTTACCAGCACTCCCAGGAAGAATTATTATCTCCTCTGGGATTTTATAACAATCACTACTGTAATATTCTCCTTTGTGAGTTCCTGTCAATCTACCTTTTCAGTCATGTTCCCCACTATTCTTTATTATGTCCTAACATACTAACAGAACTGACCTTTTTCTCTTTTCTAGACATACCCCACATTTTTCTGTTTGTATGATGTTCCCTAAGCCTGGAATTTCTTTTCCATTTCAATATCAATAGTCTAATGCCGTCAAAGATCTGATTCTAGTATTCTCTCCTCTGATTAGACTTACTAACCTTGGCTGGAATTACTTCTTCCATCTGAAAACACCTGTAGAACTTTACTTAGGCTCTCTAAGCATTAAATTATATACTGCTCCACCTTGTGTTTCTCATTTTTGTCCATAATTGAGCTTAATTATAGTCTAAGCTCATTGGGTAAAGTGGCTGTTTCACTTTATATCTCATACCTATTTCTATGAACTACTGTGCATGAAAACAGAAACTTTATATATTTTGTTAATCTCTGTATACTTAGTACTTAGCATAATGTTCTGCCAGTAGTAATACTGAATAAATTTTGCTAAAAGAAAAAAAGTTAATGCAAATGGCAACTGATTTGGGGTTTGGGTTCTTCTGTGTTAAATAGGAAATATGTAGGAATAGAAAACAGTAGATTCAGAGAAAGATGTCTGCACTATGTTTAAATAAACACTAAAAAACTACAATTGACTAGTTATCCTCTAATAAGCTTCCCATTTCCACAACATTTGTGTGTGTGTGTGTGTGCCTGTTTTGAAATTCTCATACCATACTATAGCACAATTTCAGGCCAAGAGGCAGGGTCATTATTTTCAAAAGACTTTTGCTCAAATGTACTTTGCATTTGGGCTTGGTGACTAGCATTTGCACATTAAAACAGATTTAACAAACTAGTCAACATGTAAGATACAGAAAGGCTGGTTCTCAGGAAATGGAATTATGAATGTGAAAGTTCAATGCATAAAGGTATTACTGATAGGAAGCTGTAAGTGTCTAAATTGGTAATACTAAGCAAACCATAGGACAGGCTATGAAACAGGGGATTAGATAGAGAATGTTTCGTTATCCTTCACAGGGCCAAACTGGTCAGACATATTCTAATAGAATAGTCTTTTTCTTCTATCTCTAGCACCTAAATTCAAGTTGTTGTTGTTGTTGTTATGTGCCGTGGAGTCAGTTCTGATTCATAGCGACCCTACATAGGGTTTCTGAGGCTATAAATCTTTATGGGAGCAGAAAGCCTCTTCTTTCTCCCATGGATCAGCTGGTAGTTTCGAACTTCTGACCATGAGATTAGCAGCCCAATTCGTAACCACTACGCTATTGATATAAAATCAAATTCTATTAAAACTAGAAAGATCTTAGGTTTCAGAGGCCTTAAAACCAACTGGGTAATATATCTGGGGGAAGAGCACCTTGGGACTCTGCTCATAAAGTGAGTGAGGATAATGGGAAGCATTACTTACCAACAGCAATGAAGTGTAGCCAGCCAAGATCCCAAAAATAGACAGCAAAATAATGGACCAGTAAACCCAGATTCCTGCAGTTAAGAAAATGGCCCTGAAAAAATGTGTTTCAATCCTTAATACACAGCAGAAAGCCATATAATTTCTGCCAAGGATAGATAATAGCAGACAGAATGAGGGATAGGCGAATCACAGGGAAATAATGAGGTAAGATTTTGGGAACTGATGTGTGAAAAACTTTGGGGCTATTTAGTTGAGGAGGTTGAACTCTGTACTGCAAGCATTTGGGTACATTAGCAGAATCTGTATAAGTGATCATTTTTTTTCAGAGTTACTTAGAATGTACATTTTTTAAAATTATGTCCTCTTTAATTTAATAATACAGACATTCTAAAATGTCAAAAAGATCAAAGTCTTCCCATAATATCACCCCCTTAACAAAACAAATACTCTCCACTTTGACAGGCTCCTTATCCACTCTATTTTTTACGTACCATCCTAAGCACAGTCAACATATTAATTACTCTGTTCTGTATAAGAGATTTTGGCTCTTTAAAAACAATCCTGATTTTTTTTTTTTTTATTCTTCAAGTACTTTATGAGAAGAGAATTGCTAATGATCAAAGATAAATAATGCTGTATTTAATCTAGGTGTATATGCCAAGTAATTTAGACTTTCTATTTCAAGATAGCAGAGTTATGTTATGCTAAAATTCCCTCATCTTCATACAAAATTTGTAGAAATTATATTTGAAAATACATATACTATAGATTAATGAAAACATAACCACTGTACTTTGGAAACAAGTATATTAAAATCACAAGCTTTTTTAAGCCCCCTCATACATATATGTATGCATACATAGAATTCTGTTACCCATGATCTTTATCCTCTGGTGTTACACTGGTAATTTTAAGACAAAAGAGACTGTACAGATATAATTAAGGCTACTAAACAGCTCACCTTAAAACTGGGGTATTATCTTAGATTACCTGTGTGAGTAATCACATAAGCCCTTAACAATAGAAAAGGAATGCAGGAAACAGTGAGCTGTAGCAGAAGGGTAAGTCAGAGACATCTGATGTATGAAAAGGATTTGACTCATCTTTGCTAGCTTTGAGGATGGGAAAGACCGCAAGCCAAGGAATGCAGTTGGCTTCAAGAAGCTGAGAATGACCCCAAGATAACAGGCAGCAAAAAATAAATAAATAAGGAAATTTCAGTTCTACAGCCTTAAGGAACTGGATATGGCAACAAATTGAATAAGTCCAGAAGGAGATTCTCATCCATCCAGAGTCTTCAGGTAAGGGCTTAGGCAAAAGGAGATAAATGTTTCTAGATCCTTGTACTAGCCAAAAAGTGGGTGAAAAACTAATTAATGCTAGACATTAGTAAATGAAGATTACATATTGCAATTTCTAGAGTGGGTACAAAAAGGATAACAAAGTAGCTATGATAGAAAATGGAAGTATACCTTTCAAGTTAATAGAGAGACAAATGAAGTAATAAAAAATGTTAAATATCAAAGTTAATAGAGGTAAGGAAAGAAAGAAAATATAGAAATGATATGAAAATAACATAAGGAAAAGAATAAATTTAAATTGAAATACATTATTAATTATATTAGAACAAACGTCTTTTATTTGTGACATAAAAGATAAATGTTTCCAGACTGAATTTGGTATTTACATGAGAAACTTCCAAAGCATCAATTTAAAAATGGTTAAGAAGAAAAAGGTAATGAACAATTTAAAACACAACACATATTAAAAAAAAAAATTAAATATTTAAGTATAAAGCTAATGAAATACATACTGTACAAGACCTGTATATGCAAATACTATCAAATTCTGATAAAAAGTAAAAGATCTTAATAAATAGAGGAATAGTCCACATTGGAGCATAGGTAGAATTAATAGGATAAATGTCAATTATTCCCAACAATATATAGGACTCAACACAATGGCAATCAAAATCCTAAAAAGTTATTTTATGGATATTGACAAAATGACCCAAAAGTTTACATGAAAAAGCAATAGACCAAGAACAGCCAGCACAATACTGAAGAACAACAAAGTGAGAGACACCTACTCCTGAAATCATGACTTACTATACAGCTACAGTGATCAAAAGAGTTGAGAGCTAATGAAAAAATAGACACATAGACTAATGGAGCACATAGAGAGACCAGAAAGAGTCCATACACGTATAATCATGTAATCTTTGACAAAGTACTTAGACAATTCAAAAGAAAAAATACAGTTTTTTCAATGAATGTGCTGGAACAAATAGGCATGTATATGTATGAGATGAATCTGGACACCAGTCTTATACCTTTCACAAAAATTAACTCAAAATGTATCACATATCTAAATATTAAACGGAAAAAAAACACAACCTCCATAAGATAATAGTAGAAATTCTATATGATCTTGGGTTTGGCAATAAGTTTTAAAATATAATATCAAGCTCATGATCTATTTTTTTTTAACATTGATAGGCTGATGTAAAAAACTTATGCTCTGTGAAATACCACAAACTGGTAAGAGAAAAAAAAAAGACAAGACAAGACACAGACTGGGAGAAAATACTTGTAAAACATATCTGATAAGGAACTTGTATCCAAGACATACAAAGGATACATAAAACTCAACTAAAAGAAAACCACCCAATTACAAAAAATGCAAAATAAATGAACGGGCATCTGCAGTGCAGTGAATTACTTGATAGTGTCCTTTCAGCTACAGCCTCTGTAACTCCCACCAAGTAACTGGGTTGTTGTTGCTGCTGCTAGGTGTGTTGAGTTGGTTCTATTCATAGTGACTCAACACACAATGGAATGAAACACTGCCCTGTCCTGCACCATTCTCACAATTGTTATGCTTGAATCCATTGGTGCTGTCATGGTGTCAATCCATCTCATTGGGAGTCTTCCTTTTTTTTTTTGCTGACCCTCCACTTTACCAAGCATGTTGTCCTTCTCCAGGGACCGGTCCCTCTTGATAATATGTTCAAAGTATAAGAGACAAAGTCTGGCCATCCTGGATTCCAAGGAGCAATCTGGCTCTTTTACCATAGATCCATTTGTTCTTCTAGCAGTCCATGGCACTTCGAATATTCTTTCCAACATCATAACTCAAATGCATCAATTCTTTACAGTGTTCCTTATTCACTGCCTAACTTTCACATGCATGTGGGCCAATTGAAAATGCCATGGCTTGGGTCATTTAAACCATAGTCCTCAAATGGATAGCTTTGCTATTGGCACTTTAAAAGAGTTCTTATGTAGCAGATTTACATTGTACAATGCATCATTTGATTTCTTGACTTAGTCCTCAAACTAGTATCTTTGTTTTTGAATACTTTAAAGAGGTTCTGTGCAACAGATTTACCTAGTGAAATACATCATTTGCTTTCTTGATTGCTGCTTCCTTAAGTGTTGATTGTAGGATTCAAGCAAAGTGAAATCTTTGACAACTTCAATCTTTTATACAGTTGGTTGTTGTTAACTGCCATCAAGTCAGTTCTGACCCATAACGACCATGTACAGGGTTTCCAAGGAGCAGCTGGTAAGCTTCAACTGCCAACAATGCA